TGTGTCTGTGCCAGTTTGGGTATCCCTTCCTCTGCCGATGGGCACTTAGGTTGTTTCCGTCTCTTTGCTGTTGTGAATAGGGCTGCGATGAACATGGGTGTACGTATACCTATTCGTGTCCTACCTCTCAGTTCTTTAGGACATAACACCTAGTAGTGGGATTGCTGGATCAAATGGTATTTCTGTTTCCAGCTTTCTAAGGAATCATCTTGGCAGTGATCTTTAGAGAAGCAGATTGCCAGGCCTTTCTTTCATGGGACTGCTAAGTGGATTTAAATCACCGATCTTGATATTAATGGTGGAGTGTAGGCCATCGGTGCCATCCAGGGACCGTACAGTCCCTCTGGACCTCCCCAGGCTCCCTCTCTGCGCCCCTTCTGTCTCGCGGTCTTGGGTAAGGGCTGAGCAGGGAAGGTGTGTGGTTGGTTGATGGACGGCAGTGATGCCTTTCGAGTCTTTTCCTTCCCTCCTCCAGCCACAGCGATGGCTGCCTCTGTTTCCTGGGTTGCCATGACAGGGCCACAGAGTGGGTGGCTTTAAGGGACAGCATTTCACACTCTCACGGTTCTGAAGGCCGGGAGGCTGGGTTGAGGGTGGTGGTCGTGGAGATTCCGTCTGAGGCTCTGAGGGCACCTATTGGTGCCTCTGTCCCAACGTCTGGTGGTTCCAGGTGCTCCACGGCAGCATCATACAGCGTCATTCCTCTGTCCACCTGTCCCTCCGCGTTCATAAGGCCCCTCCCTACTGTGCCATGAGCATCATCAAAGGCCTGCTTCCAAACAAGGTCATGTTCACAGGGGCCTGTGGACACGTCTAGTCCATGACAGTGCCCCTTGTTTGCGTACCTTTGCTCAGATTTCTTGCAATTTCTGTGGCTTTTTCTTGGCACCATCCGTGTCCTTATCTGTAAAATAGGGTGATCATACCACTTCATGAGGTTTGTCAGATAAGGAGGTAAAATACCTCACACTTGGACCAGTCCCACAGAAAGCCCATGAAGCCACTCTGATGAGTTCTGGAAGCACAGTCAAGAAATTAGACACCATATTGCATCAGGCAGATCTGCTGCGAAAGAGCTCTTCCAAGTGCTGAAGAACAGAGATGTCTCTTTGAAGACTAAAGTGCTCTTAACCCAAGCCATGCTATTTTTAGTTACCTCATATGCATGTGAAAGCTGAGTGATGGAAAAGGAAGACAGAAGAGTTGTGGTAAAGTTGATACTTTTGAGTTGTGTTCGTGAAGAAAACTGGAAAATATCACGGACCGCCAGAAGAACGAACAAATTTTTCCTGGAAGAAGTGCAGCCAGAATGCTCCTTGGAAGCATGAATGGCCAGACATTGTCTCATCCACTTTGGTCATGTTGTCAGAAGGAACCAGTCCCTGGAGAAGGATAACATACTTGGTAAAGTGGAGGGTCAGCGAAGGAAGGGAAGACCCTGAACAAGATGGATTGACACAATGGCTGCAACAATGGGCTCAGGTACAGTAAGGATTGTGAGGATGGCGCAGGACCAGGCAATATTTTGTTCAGTTGTACACAAGGTCGCTATGCATTGGAGCCAACTCAGTATGATCTAACAACAACCGAACAACATTGAGGTGGTGGGGTGATGCAGGTGAGAGCGTCAAGCCTAATGGGAGAGCAGACCCAGGCCCATGTGCAGCCAGGTGCTTGGACCACTCACTTGTGGCCTTGGCTTGCTGCTGTGCTATAATGCCAGTTGGGCTGTTTGCCCAAGACCCCTGTGTGTTCTCCTGCTGCTGGGGGGCCCTGGCGTTCTTGGCTGGGTGGAGGGAAACTGGGGGTGAGGAGGGCCTGTATCTTCTCTAGCCCCACTCTAGGAGTGTCTGTCCCTGAGGAATGTGAGTGAGAGGGCAACTTGCCTGACCCCCTGCTGAGAAGGCACCTTTGATGCCATGCACAAACAGCCTTCCCTGCACCAGGTGGGAGGTAGACCAGCTGTGTCCTAGAAACGTCCACTGACCTGTTGATTATTCAAGGCATAAAGCCTCGCCTAGGTAGGTTCCCAGCCCTCTGAGCTAGGGGACCCCTTTCCCACGTTCCCCTCCAATGCACGACTTGGTATAGTAATAGTTGTGTGCCGGTTCCAGCTTATAGGGACTGTGTAGGGCAGAGGAGGATGGCCCCATAGAGTCTCCTGGGCTGTCATCTTGATGGGAGCACATCACCAGGTCTTTTTTCCTGCAGAGCAGCTGGTGGGTTTGAACCGGGGACCCTTTGGTTAGCAGCCAAGCACTTTAACCATTGCACCACCAGGGCTCCTTATAGTAATGATAGTACTTTCCATATCCTGTTTAATCATTTATATAGTGGAGATTGACCATGAGGTTAGTGTCGCTTTAAATCTTCTATCAGTTTCACGGACCACAAGCAGTCTTGTGTATATCTGTGTGAGAGTTTACTTGGGCAGCAGGGACACACAGATGGGTTTGCACATGCCCTGTGGGCTGTGAATGGGGCTGGGTCCGTGGACTCCAGGCCATGATAGAGCAAGTGCCCCTTTTCAGGAGCCCATCAGTGTGGGCATCACTGTGCCCTTCTCAGTGACATCAGCTTAGAGAACAGCAGCCAGGGGGCATGGTAGGTGCCCCTGGGAGGCAATGACAAAGACGGGTTGAGCAGGGGTGAGGTTAGAAAAGCATGGGACACAAATTGACGTGCTTTGTTTGTAAACTTTGGGTCGCTTTTCTGTGGCTCCTGATTTATATTAGGTTAAAATAACTGAAAGGAGGGTAGGGCCAGGATACACATCCTGGGACACAGTGGGAAGTAGGGGGTCTCTGAATTCCATGTGCAAACAGCCAGCCACCTTGGTGACAACTGCCGGCCAGGATGGTCTTTACTGGGGCTCTGGGAGGGGGAGGAAAGCAGGACCACCTCGCCTGGCAGGTCCACCTTCTCTGTGGTATGTTATTGGCTGAACGTTCCACCAGCAGCAGAGGGCAGCTGGGGAGGTGCCGGTGTACCCAGCAGTGGGGGTGGGGCTTGTCTGCATTCTGGGAGAGAGTGACAGCTCTCTAGGCAGCTGACTGCAAAGTGACCATGGCCTGAGGGGCAGAGACTGCTGGGCACAGTCCTGGCAGTGGCACTCACTGGGTGGTAGGCAAGTCTTGCTCCTTCTCTGGGCCTTAGTTTCCCAATCTGTAAAAGGAAGAGGGTGGTTTGGGTGATCTCTGAGACCCCTCATGTCCTGGCATCATGTGGCATAGGACCACGTTTGCAATGAGCTAGTTCTAGCCAGTCCCTCGCCACGGAGAGCCTTCCAAGAGGAGGTGGGGGCCCGGGGCAGTGTGCACAGAAAGGGCCAGCCATCGGCCGGGAAATAGATGCATTGCTGGTGCGGCAGTGGCCAGTCAGAAGCTGGGTTAATGGTCACCCTCTGCCACAGCAGGTGTGCACTCGAGCACACACTCACATGTACACACACGCCCTGCCACCTAATCCAAAGTCCAGGTTGAGCAAGAGGCCTGCTGTGGGGTGGCTCTGCCCTGCCCATGTGACCTGCGAGATAGTCCCTGATTGCACTCGGCCTCCCAGCACAATTGCTCACCATCCCAGGGCTGCCTAGCAAAATACTGTAAACAGGTGGCTAATAAGAACAAAAATCCATTGTCTCAGCGGAGGTTGGGAGTCTGAGGTCAGGGTGTCAGCCATGTTGACTCCTTCTGAGGCGCTGAGAGAGGACCTGTGCCTGCCTCTCTCCCGCCTTCTGGTGGCCCCGGCTCCTTGGCTTGCATCATGGCATCACATGGTGTCCTTCCTCTTATACACACGGGGCCACCATGAGCCCGTGTCAATTAGACCACAGCTGATTACTGGTATCTCATTGGATTCCCACATCAGCTCTATCTTCATGTCCATCTTAGGAAGGAGGAAACCGCACTGAGGGACACAGACTGCCTCAGGTCCCATGGCTGGCCTGCGTGGTGACCTTGGCACCGGAAACCCATGTTCCTCAGCACTGTTCTCATGCCACTTGGGGCCAGCCCTCACATCTGGCCCTGGGCTGATAACCCCAGCCCCCCAGTGTTTGTTGGGCTGGAGGGCAGCTGGGGGCAGGGCAGGGGTGGGGCTGGCCTTGGGCTGCTGCCTGAAGGGCTGGGATCCGGCTTCTCAGGTCTCAGCTGATCTCCAGCTGAGCTGTCCCAGGAGCCTGGGTGTGGCATCCCTCCCATCTCCCGTCTCAGGAGGAGGCAGGCTTTGAGTGGCTGACTGAGGTGTTTCTGTTGCCAGATACAGTGGAGGTTGAAGGCAGCAGGAAACTAAGGCTCATTTGAGCAGCAGCCAGACTCATCCTGTTTGCTTCCTGGTGCCCTTGCCCGTCCCTGCCTGTTGGGAGTCTGTAGTCCTTCAGCGTCTGCCTCACAGGCCACCTCCGACGCCCGCTCCCAGCACAGCGTGTTTCAGCCAACGGTGCAGTCCCTGGGCCTGGGGAGTTTATGACCTCAGGAGAGGAGGGCAGGTCAGCCTGAGTGTGCCCAGGCTATTGTGGGAACCCATGTGCCCCACTCATCAGGTGACGTGGCTGGAGTAGGGAGCTCTCAGAGGGAGACCTCAGGCTGGTTTTTTTTTTTTTTTTTTTGTGATTTGGGTGAAAGTTTACAGAGCAAATTCACCTTCCATACAGCAGTTCACACACACGTTGTCTCATGACATTGACTACAATTTACCCCAATGTAACAGCTCCCCTCCCACTTCCTCCCCATAGTTACCTCTTCCCTGTGTCCATCCCTCCATGCACTCCTGCCCCCTGAGCTGTCTCCCTGTGCATAAGCAGCCCTTCTTTCTCCCATGCTTGTTCTCTCCAAGGAGTGTATCTACCTCAGGGAAATGTTCGGCTCATATGCCTGTCTTTTGTTGGGCTGGAAGCCGCAGGTGTGGGTTCAATTCCAGACCTGATGGGCAGCTAGGGGCCATAGTCCCCAGGCTCTGTCAGACCAGCAGACCTGGTCATCAGCTGGGTTTTGAAGGGTAAGTGGAGTTGGTTGTAAGGCTGGAGGGGCCGACTGCCGTGGGAGCACAGGACCTGAGAGGACGTGCTGGTGCTGGGGGAACGCTGGTGGGTAGACCAGCTGGAGCATCGAGTGGGCCCAGAGGCCAGAGGGGGCAGGCTGGCTTGCTTCTTCCTTGAAGCCCTTGGCGTTGTGTGGCTGTGGCTAGTAGCGGTCTGGATTTTTCTTACTCCTGTGTCCCTGGAGGAGTGTCTGAGGGCAGTGGAGAGAGACGGGATGTGGCTCTCAGTGGACCCACGTTCACTCCATGGCGTGAGGCCTTGTGACTTTGGGGTTCATTCCTTGATTTAGCCGAGTCAGTCTCTTCATCTGTAAGAAGGGGCAGTCCCTGCCTTCCCCTCGGGGCTGTTGTGTGTGTGGGGGGGGGCAGGGATGCAGAGAGCCTAGTGCAGCATGGCTCCACAGTGGTCTTGGTCTCAGCCTGAGGCAGAGAGAGGTGAGGTGCGCAGACGAGCCCCACGCCTTTATGGCCAGACTTCACCTGGTGCCTGGCTTTGATCCCGACCGTGTCCACTGACTGGGCTGAGTGTGGTTCCCACGGTACAAGAGTCCCACGTCTGGGGAAGAGGAGCCCGAAGTGGAAAAGCAGGAACTTCCAGCCCACTTGCAGGTCTTAATCTGTCACGGCAGAAAGCTCCAGAAGCTGCCTGTCCCCACTGAAAGGCTCCCTCCGACCCCTGGCATGTGTGCTCATTAACGGGAAGTGCCCCAAGCTGCTGGGTGGTGCTGGGAAGGCCCTGGGGGCCGGAGAACCCTGTGAGCCTTTATCCCTCACCTTCTAGCAAGGGGTGGAGTGGAGACAGGATGGCCAACTGAATTCCTCCCCCGTGGTGCTCGTGGGACAAGGTGAAAGTGTCCGGCGGACCCCTGCCCCGTGAGGGGTCTGGGGCCTGGCCACTGTTTGCCGCACCCAGTGTGTGCCAATGCACAGTAGGCTTGCCACTCGTACTGGCAGAGCTCACGGCTGGTAGCTTGCTGTTTGCAGTGCAGCTGTCTTTTTAAAGACACCCCATTTCCTAGAGACTGCCAGGAACCTTTGTCTTTCCCATGATGCATGTAGAAGTGTCTGATGGGAACTGTTCTGAATGAAAGCCTGTCTGAAGAGCCACTTTTTCCAGGACCTGGAATTGAGAGAATTCCATGTTGAATTGAGAGAACTAGACTCAGGCTGCGAAGCCGGGACGGATTCTTAGCTGTACCCTGTTCTTAGTAAGGAGACGAGGCCTCTGAGAGATCCCATATCTGTAAGCAGAGGCCACCTTTCAGACCATGTGAGATTACAGATGTAAAACTCCTCAGCACCTTATCTGGCATGTGGGAGACTTTGAGTAAGTGTCACCATCCTGAATGCAAATGTTTTCTCAGTTCACGGGGTGCCTGGCTTAGTGACAGAGGTGCTGAGGATTAACGTGGAGGCAGAACTCCTGCAGCGGGCTTTTCCCCACGCGCTTGGTTTGGGTCCACGGGCCCATGAGCTTTGTCTTCAGAGTTCTGTCTCCCTGAAGCAGGTGCCTCCATCTGACGGGGCGCATGTGTGTTTCTGCTGACCAGGAGCTGAGAGAAGATAATATCATCTTAATTGAGACCAAAGCCATGCTGGAGGAGCAGCTGACGGCGGCCCGGGCCCGCGGCGATAAGGTCCACGAGCTGGAGAAGGAGAACCTGCAGCTAAAGTCTAAGCTGCATGACCTGGAACTGGTATTTCAAGCCGTGGTGTTACCACGCTGGGGGGAATGCGGATGGGGGCAGCCGCCGGTTTATGCCACGTCCTTCTCTGTCCGAAGTCTTAGCAGTGGCTTTGCTGCTGTTGCTGCTGCAGTGACCTGTGGAGAGTAGCCGACTAGGGGCAGCAGGGTTGAGAGCATAGCACTCAGCACCCACAAGGCAGAGAGGCCCACCTTCTCTGCTGGGTCTGTGAGGATGAATGCACATGCGTTCTTTTTCCAGAAGGGGCTCTGCTGGCACTTACGAGCTGGCTTAGCCATGGCTCTTGAGCCTCTTGGCGGCTCTCCGAGGCGATAGGCCTGCCCTGGGGCCACAGCACTGCCGTGGGTGGCTGCCACTTTGTTCAGATAATGTTTAATGAGAGACCTGGAGTCTTCCTCGAAATCTAGGTACACACCCCCCAAAAATCCCAGCCCTTTGTCGTCCAGCCAGTTCCGACTCACGTGGCCTCCTGTGAGAGTGGCCAGCCCCTCAGGGTTTCTTGGCTGTGTTCTTCATTGAAGCAGAGCCAGGCCCTCCCACTGTCCCACTGGGGTCGTTTGAACCATCCAGCCCTTAGGTTAGCAGCCAGCTGCAAAGGGCTTGCACCACCCAGGCTCTGTGTGATCTGGGAGGCTGCGTCTGAAAACAGCTGCTGTCAAGTTGATTTCTAGTCTGGATGGCCTCATGTGTGTCAGACTGGAACTGTGACCCACAGCATTTTCAGGGGCTGGTCTTTTAGGAGTAGAATGCCACATGCTTTTTGAGGTGTCACTGGGTGGAATCACACCTTCACTCGTTCAGGTAGCAGCTGAGGTGTCCTTTAATGGGTGCTGAGTGGCACAAATGTTAGTTAAGCTTCTGACCACTAACAGAAAGTTTGGCAGTTCAGACCCACTCAAAGGCTGTCAGCAGACAGGCCTGGTGACCTTCTGAAAGGTCACAGCCTTGGAGACCCACGGGACCCAGTTCTTCTCTGCCCACAAGAGGTTGCTGCGAGTTGGAACCAACTTGACAGCAATTCACACGAGCAGATCTCACAGCTGGGCCTGTGTTGGAGCGGTCTCTGCAGCTCTGTTTATTTGGACTGAAACACAGAATCACGTCCCTTTGTCCCCAGTGAACGAGGGGATACATGGAGTGGGGCCTCTCTGGGGGTCCCCTGGCCACGTCCTCACTCTTTGCTTCTTCCCTCCTGCTCTAGGACAGGGACACGGACAAGAAGCGGATTGAGGAGCTGCTGGAGGAGAACATGGTCCTGGAGATCGCCCAGAAGCAGAGCATGAACGAGTCCGCACACCTCGGCTGGGAGCTGGAGCAGTTGTCCAAGAACGCGGACCTGTCCAATGGTGGGTGGCGCCTGGCTGTGTCTGCAGCCGCAGCTTCTCCCACATCCGGGGCTGAGCCTTCTCTCTGCATCTTTTCCCTGTCGTCCATCCCTTCGTCCCGTGTCGGTGTCATTTGGAGCGGTTCCGTTACAGTGCTCCCTTAGGAAGATATGGGGTCTGGCAGCCTGGCTCTTAGCACAGGGCAGGCAAATTGAGTGTTGCCAGGCCCTCAGTCCCATGTGGACACCCTGGGAAAGGCCAGAATGCAGCATGCTGACACCAGGGGACACCAGGGGCCTGTCTGTGGATGACTGAAGGCCGTGGGCAGCTAGAGGAGTCCCCAGGGTCACTGATCCCCACCCTAAACGTACCCTGGGCATGATTGCCTCTGTTATTTGCATAATTGGAGAAGAAGGATGCAGTCTGTGTTCTGTCCCCCTGAGTGGGAGATGCTGAGGGGCTCTTCTCCCCAAACCCAGGTTTTCAGTAACCTGCTTGGGCTCTTTCTCTCCCCACTGCCCTCTGGCAGCACCCTGAGATGGAGTGTCAGTGCCATAAAGGGTGGGTGGGGCCCGCTCAGCACTTAAGCAGGAAGCTTCATCACCGACAAACAATGACAAACAATGAGCCGGTTCCTGTGTCCTAAAATAGCCACGTTCACCGTTCACACGCACCTGATAGTGCAAGTTAATACTGGCTTAGTGCTGTGGAGTGTGGCGGGCTTCTGGCTTGTTTTTCCTATAGCGTTTTTTAATATTCTGATAAATATCCCAGTGTGTAATGGAACAACAACAACAACACGATAGTGGAAAGGTTGTTAAAAGCAGCTGGATGTGTTTTCTCTTTAGAGAGTCCTATCCATTCCAAAGTTAAGATCAGTTATTAGAATGTTAACCATGGAAGCAGCAGTCAAGGAATCAAACACCATATTGCATTGGGCAAATCTGCTGCAAAAGACCTTTTGAAAGTGTTAAAAAAAACAAAAAGAAAGATGTCAGTTTGAGGACAAAAGTGTGCTTGACCCAAGTCATGGTGTTTTCAGTCACCTCATGTGCATGAAAAAGCTGGTCAGTGACTAAGGAAAACTGAGGAAGAATTGATGCATTTCTAATTGTATTGGCAAAGAATATTGAATATATCATGGACAGTCAGAAGAATGAACAGATCTGACTTGGCAGAAGTACAACCAGAATATTCCTTAGAAGAGAGCATGGCAAGACTTTGTCTCCTGTACTTTGGCCATGTTACAGGAGGGACCAGTCCCTGGAGAAGGACATCACGCTCGGTAAAGCAGAAAGACTCCAGACTCACTGCCGTCGAGTCCGTTCTGACTCATTACGACCCCCATTGGGCTGCTGTTGTCGTTGCTGTTATGTGCCGTCAAGTCGGACCCGACTCATAGCGACCCCTCCTTGGGTTTCCAAGGCAGTATCACTACGGAAGTAAATTGCCCAACCTTCCTTCTGAGGAGTGGCTGGTGGGTTTGAACCATCAGTGTTCTGGTTAGCAGTCAAGTGCCTTAGGCTCTACGCCACCAGAGCTCCTCCCATTGGGTTACCGAGGTGATAACTCTTTACAGAAGTAGATTGCCCCATCTTCCGCAGAGCAGCTGGTGGGTTTGAATCGCTGACTGTTCTCGTTAGCAGATGGGTAAATGCCTTACCCACGACTCCACCAGAGGTCTTTGGAAAGTAGAGGGTCAGCGAGAAAGAGGAAGACCCTCAATGAGATGGATCAACACAGTGGCTCCAACAGTGGGCTCAGACACAGCAACGACCTTCAGGATGGTGCAGGACCAGGCCCTGTTCCCTGCCGTTGTACGTAGGGTCGCTGGGAGTTGGAGCCAACTCGGGAACATCTAACACATCTATTCCACATCTGAAAACAGCTAATTGAGATGTTAATCTGTGTGAGAAGTTCTCTAACTCCATGCTTTGGTGCCTTTGCACCTTGCTGGGGCCTGAGGGCAGAGCAAGGGTGGACCCTCGCCTTCCCTGCCCTTGGGAAGTAACATGTCCACTGAGGAGACTGCTGCCCCCGGTGGAGCAGAGTTGTGGTGCCTCCTACATCAGACAAGGATGAAATAACACGAGACCTTGCGTTTTGGTTCACGGCCCGAGTGGCAGTGGGATTGGAAAGTCTGTCCGATGCAGACTAATCTGTGTGCTTTGTGAGCTCTCTGAGGTCAGTGACCATGATTTATTCTTAGTGCCCCCAACTCATAGCAGCTAACTTGAAAAAAATTAAAAGCCAGTTGCCTTTGAATCAGCTCCAGCCCACAGTGCCCCCATGTGTGTCAAGAGCAGAGCTCTGCTCCGCAGGCTTTCCAGTGGCTGAGTTTTTCGGAAATAGAACTTGAGGCCTTTCTTCCAAAGAGCCGCTGGGTGGATTTGAACTGCCAGCCTTTTGGTTTGTAGCTGAGTGCTTAACCATTTGTGCCACCCACTGCTTCCCTAAAAACCAAAACCAAACTCAATTCTGTTGGGTCAGTTCTGACTCATAGTGATGCCTCCTTGGGTTTCCGAGGTGGTATCACTACAGAAGTGGATTGCCTAACCTTCTGAGGAGTGGCTAGTGGGTTTGAACTGTCAGCCTTCTGGTTGGCAGTCAAGTGCCTTAGGCACTAGGGACCAATAAATATTGACTGATGGCATCAGGAAGGAAAAGCCTGAGGGTGCATTGACATTTTGTAGACCTGGACCAATAGCTTAGTTCCTCTGCCAATTAGGTGGATGATCTAGGGCAAGTACTTAACCTGTTTAAACTTGAGTTTGCTTATCTGCAAAGTGGGCACAATGAGCTTGCTCACAGGATAGCAATTAAATGAAACGTTAGCACCTGGGCCACAGTGCACACTCAATGCAGGGCCGAGGTTCTTGTTACCATTATCTTGTTAAGATGTAGCTGGTATGTCAGGGGCTCTGGTGGTTTAGTGCCTAAGACATTTGACTGCTAACCAGAAAGCTGGCAGTTCAAACCCACCAGCCACTCCTTGGAAGAAAGGTCGGGCAATCTATTTCCGTAGTGATGTTCTTGTTATGTGCCATCAAGTCGAACCCGACTCATAGCAACCCCTCCTTGGGCTGCTGAGGCAGTATCACTACGGAAGTAGATTGCTGCCTTGGAAACCCAAGGAGGGGTCTCTGTGAGTTGGATCTCACTCCACGGCATTGCGTTGCATTGTTGTTGTTAGCTTGTGTGTCAGGCTAGCCCTGTACCCATGAGTGTAGCACCCAGCCAAGAACTGTTGTTGAGATGTGTGGTGGTTAAGTTTGTGTGTCAGCTTACCTGGACCTGGTTGAGTGACTGGGCAGCTGGATGTAGTATTCCCCATGATGAGACTGGTACGCAACTCCATGGTGGAATCTACTGTGAGCAGCTGAGTAGCTGCTTTAGGGATGTGATCTGCCTTCCTGTATATAAGAAGAATCCTTGGAGAACAGACGCTTAAGGCGTGCTTGAACCCTGCATGTAGCTGTGTCGTTGTTCAGCAGCCTGCCATGCTCTGCCAATCTTGGGACTTTCAATGGACTTGAATTAATGGCCTGCTGTGTGATTCGGTAATACCGGGACTATGCCTTTTTACTTGTCAACCTTGGGCTTGTCAGTCTCAGCAGCCAGCAGCTGTCTGAATGAAGAAAAGCCTCTAGCTTCAGTGGGCTGGGAGCAGGAGGCAGAGCTGAAGCCCAAGGTTGAGGGGCTTTCACCCAGCCCCACCCTAGAGCTTGCCACTTTGAACTCAGACTTAATGTCTCCAAACTGTAAGAGAATAAACTCCTGTTTGTTAAAGCCATCCCATTTGTGGTATACTTTCTGTTAGAGCAGCACAGAGGTAACCAGAACAGTATATCACTGTCTCTGAGTCATGAAATAATGGCAGAGGGGCCCAGGCTTGTCATCAGTGCCCTGCAGAACTCCAACTTGCAGAACCTCAAGAATGGTCCTCGTGTTCATGAGTGCTGCAGAAGTCTGCTACCAAAGGGCCACAGCTTCTGAGTTGGTGGAGATGAGACTACAGCCTTCAGTGTGATCACACCTCAACTTAAAACAAAGCCTCACAACTGAAACAGTCAGCAACATTGTGATAAACAAATTGAAGTTTACCAAGGATTTCATTTTACTTTAGTCTGCAATCAACGCCCATGGAAGCATTGGTCAAGTGACATACTGCACTGGTCAAATACACTGCAAAAGATCTCTTGAAAGTGTTAAAAAGCAAAGATGTCACTTTGAAGACTAGGGTGTGCCTGATCCAAGCCAGTAGAGGTGTTTTCAGTTGCCTGCTATGTGTGTGACAGTTGGACAGTGAATAAGGAAGACCGAAGAAGAATTGATGCCTTTGAATTACGATGTTGGTGAAGAATATTGCACTTACCATGGACTGTCAGAAGAACTAACATATCTGTCTTGGAAGAAGTACAGCCAGAATGCTCCTTAGAAGCAAGGGTGGTAAGGCATTGTCTCAAGTGATTTGGATGTGTTATCAGGAGAGACCAGCCCTGGAGAAGGCCATCTTGCTTAGTAAAGTAGAGGGTTGGCAAAAAAAAAAACAAACAGACGACCCTCCCCAAGATGGATTGACACTGTGGCTGTGACCAAGGGTGCGAACACTGCAACAGCTGTGAGAATGGCGTAGGGCCAGGCAGCACTCCATCCTGCTGTGCGTGGAGTCGACTCAACAGCACCCAACAGCAAGCTAAGGTGAAGGAGCCCTGGTAGCACAATGGTTAAGCTCTTGACCGTTAACCAAAAGGTTGGTGGTTCGAACCTACCCAGCGTCTTGGTGCGAAAAAGACCTGTCACTCTGCTCCTATAAAGATTACAGCTTAGAAAACTCTATGGGGAAGTTCTGCTCTGTCTCATGGATGTTTGCTGAGTCAAAATTGACAGCAGCCAACAGCAGCAACAAGCTAAACCGAAAAGGAAAACACCCAAGCTCACTGCCGTCAATTCGCTTCCAACTCATAGAGACCCCTTGGGTTTCCGAGGCAGCATCTATGGAAGTAGATTGTCCAACCTTCCTTCCAAGGCCTTCTGGTTAGCAGTCAGATGCCTTAGGTACTATGCCAGTGCCACCAGAGCTCCCAACAAGAAGCTAAGGTGTTTTATTCTAGTTCAGATTAATTTATAGCGACTTGGAATAAAGTCCTCCAAAGCATTTTCATATTTGTGTTTCTGTCAGTGCTGGGGTCAGGCTGGAACCTTGGACATACCTTTCACCCCCACTGCTGTTGTTTGGGATCTTTGTAGAATTATGGCTGGAATTCTGAGTCTGTATGGCTATCATTGGAGTCCCTGGGTGTTTGCAAAACGTTAATGCACTGGGCTGCTGACTGAGAGGTTGCAGGGTCAAGTCCGCCCAGAGGCACTTGGGAAGAGCGGCCTGTCACTCTGCTTCTGAGAAGTCAGCCATGGAAGCCCTGTGGACTGCAGTTCTCCTGGACCCACATGGGGTGGCCTGGAGCCAGAGTCCACGCCAGCTGTTCTTGGGCTGTTTTCTCCTGTTATCCTTGGGTGGAGGGTGCAAACTGGGGAGAAAACAGACTCCTTCTCGTCCATCATTCGCCCACATACTTTGCTTCTGGATTGACGTGCTTGCTGTCACCCTGCCGCCCCCAGGAGAGGCTGGGTCATAAGTGAGGGGGCAGGCAGACAGGTGAGCACATGGGCCTTCCTCAGAGGGCTCTCACAGGTACCTTCCTTCGGTAACATCTTCCTCCTGTCAGCTGAGTGAGGAAGCAGAGGCCTAAACCCAGGGACGTACTGGGAGCGTCTGTCTCGGTCGGACGGGATCAGCAGCTCTCCTGACTCCCGGGGGTGCTCTTCTCCACATGCAGAATCAGTGCCTTTTTCTGTCCTTCCCTTGTGTGTCCGTCTTTCTTACAGTCCTTCAGGTGTTTTACAGAGGTTATGACCTCGTTTTCCTTCGACACATTTCTGAAAGTGCAGGAAGCTGTCTGTGTCCCAGGGGCCTCACCCACGGATGACAGATGCCTGGTGCGTCTAAACAGCACAGCCTTCGGCTCGTGGCACACATGACAGCTGTGCCTTTCCCCGTGACGCGCCCCAGACCCCCGTGCCGTCCTGCTCGTCTTCAAACACCAAGTTATGCCGTCGGGCAGTGGCTTTATAAAGAAATGGTTCCCAGAGCCAGTCTGTCACTTTTGCCTGGCTCCCCCACTGTCTCCTGCTTTTTCCCTGAGCATTGGACCACCTCTCTGACAGACAACTGAAACGAGGAGAGGCTGTACCTGCCTCGGGACCCTGGCACCTCCTGCCCCCAGGGGACGGGACGGGACAGAGGCGGGTGTCTTAGTTACCTAGCGCTGCTGGGACAAGTAGGATGTGGGAGCGGCTTTTTAATGAACAGAAGCGTGTTCTCTCACCTCAGGAGGCTAGAGGGGTGACTTCAGGGCGCCGACTCTGGGGGCAGGCTCTCTGCTAGCTGGGGCGGGGTCCTTGTCTCCTTGGCTTCTCTTTCTCGGTGGTCTTCATGTGGTGTCTGTCTTGTCCTTTTGTCCTGGCTTCTGTTCCTCATCTGCTCTTTCTGGGTCAGGGGACTGGTGTGAGACACACCCAGCATGGCTAGGGCCTCCTTAACATAACAAAGAAAACCCTATTTCCATATGGGATAATGGCTGCAGGTCTAAACCAACACCAAACCAAACTCACTGCCCTTGTGGAGTTCATTCCGAGGCGTTATGTCTACAGAAGTGGATTGCCCAGTCTTCCTTCTGAGGAGTGGCTGGTGGGTTTGAACCGCCAGCCTTCTGGTTAGCAGTCAAGAGCCCTAGGCACTACGCCACCAGAGCTCCCGGCCACAGGTATAGGGGTTAGGATTTCTCTAACAGGGTGCCTGACACCTCAGGCACGGGGGCTGGGGCGTCTTCAGTGAGGGCAGAGGGGAGGCAGCTCGCACGCGCTGGGCTCTGATGTCTCTGTGTCCCTCAGCCTCCAGGAAGTCGTTTGTGTTTGAGCTGAACGAGTGTGCCTCCAGCCGCGTCCTGAAGCTGGAGAAGGAGAACCAGAGCCTCCAGAGCACCATCCAGAGGCTGCGGGACGCGTCCCTGGCCCTGGAGGAGAGCCGCCTCAGGTGCGGGGAGCTGGAGACGGAGAACCAGCAGCTGGGCAAGAAGGTGAGCCTGGGCCCGTCAGGAGAGGAGGCCGCAGATGTAGCCAGAGAAGCAGGGAGCAGTCAGAGCTCCCGGAGCAGCAGGCTCGGCCCTGCCCCGCTGCCTGCAGGTGTGGCCTGGGCGCGTGGCTGCATCTCAGTGCCTCTCTCCATCTGTGAAGTGGGGCTCATCACCTCACAGGTGGTGTGAGGGTGACATGAGCGAATGTGGTAAAGGGTCCACCATGTGGTAGGAGCTTAGAGAGTGTGACTGAGAGCAAGCGAGCTGTAGGTTGTTAGTGTGAGGCAGGGGAGAGGAAGTGATTGTGTAAGGGACTGAGGACCACACGTCAGTCATCACTGACTGCAGTAGTAGGTGTGTGTGTGTGTGTGTGTGTGTGTGGACTCAATGATGGAGTGTGTTACAGCATTAAAGACCAAAACACCAAACCCGCTGCCATCGAGTTGATTCCGACTCATAGTGACCCCCACTGGGTTTCCATGGTTGTAAATCTTTATGGAAGTGGATTGCCCATCTTCCTTCCATGGAGAGGCTGCTGGGTTTGAACTGCCAACCTTCTGGTTAGCAGTGACATGCCTTAGGCACTGTGCCACCAGCGGCCCAGGGCACTGCTGGGATGAAACATGAAGGCCCGTGCTCGTGCCCTCCTCTTGGTGTTTGGGACGGGGAAGAAGAGGTGGCTGGGCTGGGTTTGCTTTCACAAACAGCTACTGGGCGTCCCTAGTGGCATGGTAGGACCTGGACATTGAGAGAACAGACCAAAGCTTACAAACTTGTCCCACGGCTCTCAGATGCAGGTGGGAATGTTGAGAAGCCAGGGGCCACCTCCACGTCTCGGTCATCCATGGCCAGAGCGTGTCTGGTCCATCTACTCTTGGGGTGGGTGCACTGTGGGACCTAAACGCCCCGCAGCCAGGTGGTGGCCGGCGGAGAAGGGAGAAGCACGTTTTCACTTCCGGGAGCTGGGCACCCCCTCTGGACTTGCCCGCGTTCCCACCATTGTCACTTAGGGCTGTGCTGGCTGTGGATGCATGAGGCTGCAGGCAGGGCTCCTGGCCCTGCTGGGGCCTCTGTAGGAGGCTGGGATACTCTCTTTCTTTCTGTGAAGTTGTCCTGGTCCCCCTGGGGGACCGTCCAGGCTCTGACTTGACTTCCCTGCCGTGTTGAATGTTGCATGCTGTGGGCACCAGTGCTTTCTCCTCTTGGAGGACCTAGAAGTTCCCCTGGCTCGTGCTGCCTCTGGTGGTGCAGCCTGAGGAGGGCAGCTGACCTCCTGGTTGGTCTAAAACCACATGGGCCTAGTGCAGGAAGTGTCTTAGTGCCTTGGCCAAGATAAGAAAGAACTGACCTTTAGGGAGCTGAGAACCTCCTTTGCTGCAGAAAGCCTGGTGAGTGTGGGCTGCTGCCCAAGGCCTGTGGGGTGGCTGCCCGTGCTCTTCTGTGCCTCCCACCCATGACGTACACTTTACACGTGTGTATGAGGCAGTCTGTGTCTGTAGAGATTTACAGCCTTGAGAACCCCATGGGGTAGTTCTCTTCTGCCCTTCTTCATAGAGTCACTGTGAGTTGGAATCAGCTTGAGGGCCCAGGTTTGGTTTGCTCTCCCAGCTCCTGTCCCTGTTGGGGACAACAGTTAGGTGTCAACAACCAGGGGCAGCACAGTCTCTGAGCAGGTGGGAGTTGTGACCGAGACGCCCAGGGTAGGGGCTGGGGAGCGGTGAGAGTCTCAGGGCCCTCCCCAGACCTGCCGAGTCAGAATGCTTTCTCATTCTGCATCTGGGTGCTCAGGTACAGTGTCAATGTGAGGATCCCTGATGGGGGGCATTGTATATTTCAGGAAACCGGTGGGTGCAGCTGGGTACCAGCATACCAGCATAAGAGTTTGGTGTCAGGGATGATGGGGTGGATATGCAGGCAAGATGGCACATGGTCTGGATGGTAGGAGAGGGAAGGGAGGAGGAGAGACTTAGCAGGGCCTCTCACAAGGCAGGGAACCTGGG